TCTTAACACCAGTTCACCATCTTCACTTTTACAAGCACTACAGTACCACTCTGCTATCTTTCTCTTCAGCAAGTGACAGATTTTGATTAATAACCATTAATTTCCCCCATTACTATTGCAACCAGCTGATCCTGTTTGCCCAGGAACACCACTTTTTAATCAGAACTTGCACCCCAGACACAGGTCCAAATAGTATGGTGTTCTCCCACTAATTACAATCTAATACAGCACAAGCATGCTACTACACTTGAGTCATGACACAGACTGCTGCCTTTTTCTCCTGGCTGCCCACACAAGCCTCATAATTAGCCTTGATCACAGAGGTGTGACTAATCACACACAGAGTCTATCACACCAGCTCCTTTCCCTCATGTGGAAATTCACTCCCACTGAGTTATAATTAGTCATTAAGAGCTGCTGTGTCATTCAACAGGATCCTGCAAAATGAGCGATCTGCCTTCCTAACACAACACTTTGTAAAGAACCAGAATTCCTTTACAAAGCTAGAGTCTTAATATGCACATCAAACAAAATAGCAAAGAAAATCTTTATACATCTTCAACTAGACCAATTTTTAGTAGTAGAGTAGTTTATTGCCATATGTACAAGTACATTGGAACACATACCCTTGAGGGAACAGACAGGATAGGAGGGAACAGTGTCACCAAGCAGACTCAGTAGACACAGTGCCATTAGAAGAATGATGCCAAACAGATTGACTCCTGATTCATCCCCAGCATTACAGACAGAAGATTTAAACAACAGAAACAGCTCTAGTTTTTTGGCTGGTGGCCAGGGCTGATGGAGGTACTGTAGGTATTCAGACACGCTGAAAAGGACAATTAGAGGAAAAAAGGAGGCTGGTGAAGGTGAGAGTGAAACACTGGTACCTCCTGACAGGTACAAGGCTCACAGGGTCTGAAACACTTAGAAGGCACATGCAGTCTTTGGTCAGTTCAAACCTCTAACTCCCATGTTATCAGCCTTTCCCTTTGGTATTCGCATACTTCTGGAACACGTTGCACATGATGCGGTAAAAAAATAAAATAATTAAAAATAGGGACAGCAGAATAGGCATTGCTTATAATATGCATTGCTCTTAAAAATGCACATCACAGACGACTGTTTCTAAAAAGGGAATAAAATGTGCCCACCCCATATTCTGCTCATTCAGGGCCAATACCCAGTAAGAACACGAGTTTCACTGCAATGTTGGTGTAATGTACTATAGATCTGTTGTTGTTCACCAGAATCAATGCAGCACAGAGCATGTCTGTGGGCTCAAAGACCATGGCCTTAGTCTTGCTTAGGGTTGGCTTTTGTTCAATTGTTTATTATTTGTTATATAAAGAGACTAGGCTTTCTTCCCAGATTGAGCTATCTGTGACAAGAAATGTTCGATTCAAGGAGTCCGACTTGATATTATGTGCAAGACAGCCCTGCCACTCCTGCCTACCACCTATATGGAACCAGTGCCTGTGATTTGCAACCAAGGACAACTCTGTACAAAAAGAAGATTTTCAATGCACTATAGCTCATTTTTAGCAAAATAATAAAAATTTTATTTTTGAGAAGAATCTCACTGTTCTAGATGCAATAATACAGTTTGGCAAACTATTGCAAGCTTTAACTCCTGAGTATAAAAATGACCTATGAAATGCTTATTTCTACTCTACTTTGTTCAACAGGTGTGATATACAGTACTGGATGTAGATACGTTTGTGCTCTGGGAAGCCAGATTGTTTTCATGGCAGACACGCAATTCTTTCAAGGTGTTTCTATTGTTGTGGAATTGCAGGTTTGCTAAACTGAGCGTGTCAGTTAAGCCCTTATTTGATCTGGTAATTACAGGCACTCTTCTCTTACATCTCAGAGGAACATCTACAGAATTCCAAATGCACTTTCCATTAATTAACAAGGATTACTGTGTTTTACAAAGCATAATTAAGTCAATCTCAGCTTTTTTATAGGATACAGACGTATTGTGGTTTGCTATTAAAGAAAAAAAACGAGAAGCTGAAAATTACGGGTTATAAGCAATTTGTTAGCGTGATAATTGCACATGAATCCTTTCTTTCTTTTCAGTTAGAGAAGCACTCTATGACTTTTATGGCATTCCTGAGGTTTCCTGTACATCAGGCTCATGTCACGACCTGGTTTGCCATCTGTATATTCGTATCAGAACACCTTTGGATCTGCTTTCAGGTCTTTAACTTCTCATCTTCCCTTAAAAGACAAGTCAGCAATTCAAGCCAGTTTAAGTACCAGCTTCATATAAAAAGATGGTGCTTTCCCTTTGTCCAAGACTCAGAAATGTAAAAGATTAAAATGTAAAAGAGAAGTGTACAGTGCAGCACAACCACACTGGACAGCAACATGTTCAAACAGCAGCACTTTTCCAAGGGGGGTTATTTTACTTAATAAAGCGACTCTTATTATACCTTTAACACCAAATGGTAAAAGCAAGTATTAAGTTTCCCAGTAAGTACAAAAAGAAGAGAGTACACTGTGGAGCGTGGAAAAGGTAGAAGGAACAAATTGTGCTTTTGTTACAGTATAATGCAAAGTCATAGAAGCTGCAGATAAAATTAAAAAAGGTTTCCATAGAATTAATGACAGGCCAAACACCTGGCAAATGATGTTGAAAGTAGATTAGAGCAGGGTTTTGCATGCAAGCACTAGAAACAGAAATTATAAATACAAAATAGGAAACTGAGGTGATACATCATTAACATCTTCCTGACAATGTGTGGAAAATTAAAGAGGTAAACAAAATGTTAGGATATGTAATTTAAAAAGTGGACGTTGCCTCAAAGCATGTTAAAATTGTATAATGTATTGGTCTTATTTAGAATATTGTGTACAATCTTGGTCACCAACTTCTTGAAGAGATAGCTGTCCAGAAAATGGCACCAGATGCTTTTTGAGGTTGGGCCCCAGTGGGCTTTTTCAGAGTGAACACTGAAATGCAGATCAGGGGACACAAGTGGAAACTTTTAGAATGGAGAACAGGAGGCACTTCTTTACACAAAGTGCTGTGGGAGTGTGGAACAAGAGGTGCGGCAAAGGAGAAGGAAATTGATGCTTGGGACAATAAACTATCAGCTTCCAGACTAGAAAGGTTGAATGGCCTCCTCTCATTTCTGACTTTTATTTTCTGATGTCTAAAATACAAAAACAGCAAGAACCTTGCACAAAAATACAAAGTCAGATGATTTCTGGTGTCTTCCATAAAGGACAAGCAAAAGCGTTTGCTCTTCAGAGACACTGCTTGCTGTCAGGATTGTTAAGAAAATTAGAGTTGTGCTCTGGCTGATACTGTTCAGTGTTGTGGCAATTGACCTTTTGCACTCGAAACAGTGTTTGCTCAGCATTTTTTACCCTTCTACCAAAAAAGGGAATATTGTATTGCCTTTTCTTGTTTGTTTTCATTGGGTTTCACTTAATAATGATTACGTTTTAAAAATTGATTCCATACAACGTTACTGCTGCTGTGCTCAAAAGTAAATATTATGCTTCTGCAGTGTAATCCAGCATGGGGTCTCAGTTCAACCAGGTTTTTATAACTGCACAGGAGTCTGTCCCTAATAGTGAGGTTACGCTGTGTTCTACTGTATTTGATTAAGATCATTGGCGTGTTTCCTGCGTTCCAGCCGCACCAGAGCAGAGCTAAGTTGCACAGCTCCACACTGTCTCAAGCAGTCCCTCCTGTTGCATACAGACAGCAAGCACATGGCTCCCAGGTGATCGTGTTGAAACCGCTCCTATCAGGAGCACTCAATTAATCACCGTACGAGATTACTGCTGAAAGGGCTGGCGAATCAAAGCCATGTGGGCAGCAATGTGGAGGTCAGGCTCTGATCTATGAAGATTTTCAGTGGTTCTTCCTCCTGGGAAGATTCGACTGACAGGAGCGAACTGTTTTAACACCGCAGCCCTGCACCCCAAATTCACACCCCACCCTCCCTCATTAGGACTGTGTGCCCCTGCAATCACCCCATGAATCACCCAGCAAGCTGTCCTTTTCGACAGAATGTGGACTTCATCACACATCTCAGCAACTCCTCCGTGTGTAAATAGCAGTTTGTGGAAGTGCGATATTGGAAAGTCTTTTTGCAATCTATTTTATTTTTTTAATGACTTCTCTTTTTTATATCATATGATATACAGACTTTGCTGTCATGCTCTCTGGAAGCCTTGTGCGGGATTGTGCTGTTGAAAATATAAAGCAGCCTTTTTGCTAGGGAATGTATAAACTGTAATTTCGTCTTTGGTGTTAAGACCAGTCTCATATTTACATATACAGTACAACTCAAGGAAAAAAAAAACAATTTGTATATTTCAATTTGGTAGAATGCTGAAAAAACACTGCATTGAAGAGTTTAATTTTTTTTTAATGTAAGTTGCCATTGTGGGCAACCACTGGACTCATAACTAACAAGTTGGAGGTTCGAACCCCTGCTGCAGACACTGCTGTTGTACCTTGAGAAAGAGGTGCTCCAGTGAACCCAGCTGTACAAGTGGGGACCTTGAGTGTGTTCTAGAGTGGTGATGGGCCCATGTCCCATCTGGGAAGGGATTCACATGCTCTCTAGTCTGCATCAAACACTACAGAGACTCTAGTCTAGACAGAGTGGCTCTAGTCTGAACTTTACACTTTTAAGAGGCTCTACACTTTGCTTAAACTTTCTGCCTCCAATGCAACAGATATAATCCATGTTTACAGAACTTGCAGAGCTCTTTGTTCCAGTGTCATATTTGCTTCGCTTTTGAATTCCAAATAAACTCCATCTACGTTTCCAAAGTGTTCCTTCAGACAGAAATATCTAAAAGTTCCATATTGACATTGGACCCTACATTCAAAACACTTTGTTTCATAAATCTCGCATGAACAACAACGGAGATCCCTATCTTTAAATCTTCCCAAGACCTGGTTAAAATCGGTGCGTGAACTCGCCGGGTCCCTGCTGTCAGTAATAGCAGCTGCTTTGCCTCCCCAGTTGCCTCACTTCGTCAACAGCACCCTGCCGGATCACGAGCGGATCACTGCCCAGCAGATCGACAGCTACTTCCGCCAGGAGCTGATCTACAAGCGCAACGAACGCATGGGCCGGAGGGTCACCGAGCTGATGGAGAGCAGCCCAGGACAGACCTTTTTCTTTGCCTTTGGAGCAGGTGGGTGTAGTACAGCAGAGGGTGCACACTTCCCAACTTAGCCAATCAGGTTAGCAGTGTTATATACTGCTACAAGCAGGTAACAATCAGGTGTACTGCTGGATTATTGCTACTGTATGTTTTAACGTGCTGCACAGATATTACTAAAAGGATCTTTTATTACAATATTTTATGTTTGTCTTGATACATTTTTACCATGGTACCTTTTAATGAACAAATTACATGTATAATAGTTTAATATATATTGTATTTTAATTGATGAGTGAACAAAATCAAAATGAAGGAAGACTTTTATCATGGTCATAGCCAGGCTGGTTGCCTTACTGAGAGGGATTAGTAGTACTCACAATACAGAAAATACCCATTAAAAAAAACATGGAAAAATGACCAGGCAGAAGTTATATATTTAGAGTCATCATAAAAAGACTGATCTTTAAATAGGTTCTAAAACTATCCACATTTTCAGAATCTCTGTTAGAAGAGAGCGATGACAATGCGTTCCAGAATTGCGGGGCTGCATAAGGTTCTGTTGTCCATCTATCAATGAAATACCCTCCCATACCATGCAAAAGTGCAGTGGATATAGCAGAGGTAGAGTACTTTGATGAGTGCATGTTGTAGTGATGGAGTAGTTTGCCAGTCAGTGTAGTAGAGGTGGAGTAGTTTGACAATGGAGGTAGTAGAGGTGGAGTAGTTTGACAGTGGGTATAGTACAGGTGGAGCAGTTTGACAGTGGGGGTAGTAGAGGTGGAGTAGTTTGTTATTTGTGGTGTAATGTCAGTGCAGAGCGGCTGATGATGGTGAGGCAGGGACTACAGGCATGGTGGAGGCTGTGTAAGCAGACCCAGCGGAGGTCCTGAGACTCAGAAAAGGGCTCTTGAGGCACTGGGAATCTGTAATGGAGCTGATTGACTATTCAGTATTCCACTGAGCATAAACTGAGGCAGGAGTGGTAAAACCGGTGACCTATAAGCACTCTGGCTCAGCAGGGCAACAGGTAGTGCTGCAGCTGTTGAGCCTTAGTGCTCTCTACATGCCTGAGCTATTTGTTTGAGCTGGGGCAGAATGAGTGATACTGAATGAGTCTGTGCCCATGGCAAGGAAGCACATTGGAGCACCAGGAGGTATTCTGGAATGTGCATTCAAAACACGACAAATAACACGCATTTAACAACATCTAAACTTCACCACGTACACGGAAACAGATCGGAATAATAAAAGCTAACAGCAAGAAAAAAAATCAAAATCGATGTCATTTGTCGTGAAAGCTACAACCCTACAGAGATTCTACAGTCCTTGAGTGGAAACAGATGGCAAAATGCTTACATTTTTATAAACATCTGAAGGGAAGGAAATGGCCACACTTATACAGGCTGTAAAACAGAAATCCCCATCTTCAATACAGTAACGGAATCCCTGAAATTCCAGCCCTCAAAAACCTTCAGATATTTGCCTTTGCAAATGCCTTTATATGCTCCTAAGCCCCAGAGTTGCTTTTCTTATTGTTACATATATAATGCTTTTAGAAATAACTTCTCAAAGGACTTTACAATCAGAAAAAAGTTAACAAGGAGGTAACAAAATTAGCCCAGTTGAAATCAAGGGTTTAGAATGCAAAAGAATATGCAAGGGGCAGACACAGAACCAATTAAGTAAAAGCCCTTCTGAAGACGGTTTTGAGTCTGGATTTGAAAGTGCTCAGGGAAGGTGATCTCAGATATCCTTGGGGATAGAATTCCGGACCTTTTGGGCATAACAGGAGAAGGCCCTGTCACCCCCAGAGTGTAAACGAGCCTGGAGGTCGAACAGGAGCCCAGAATCAGATAAATGAGGGCTTCAAGTTAGGGATAGGAAGACAGGTACTGATGTGCCAAGCAACGCAGAGCCTTATACTGTAGGTGAGCATTAGGATTTTAAAGCGACATGAAACTTGATAGAAAAACAGTGCGAGGGCTCCAGGACAGGAGTAATGAGATCACTCTCATGTGATCTAGGTAGGATTCCAGCTTCCGAATTTTGGACATACTGAAGTTTGTCCAGTGTGAAATTAGATACCCCAGCACATAGGGCTTTGCAGAAATCAATTCTGGAAAGGACAAATGCTTTACAGCTACAGTCACAGTCACAGCCAACGCAGGACGTAGTCTGGCAATATTCGTGAGATGGAAGATGTTTTACAGTATTGCTTTCTGCTGATGTAAAGCTGTGTTCTTCCTACACATCAGTTGTATTGACTACAATATGAAGAGTCCATGATCGTCCCTAGCCTGTTGACATACTGGGGTGGTGGTGTTGCCTGTAGCATTGACTCTGCTCCTCTCTGTGCTATCTGCTCTCTCTGTTTTGATAACTCCATTACGCCACTGCAGGGAAATCTCAGCTGGGTGTGCACAGTGACATTTGATTAATGGTGATCGCAGTATTCCTTCCCGTGTACATTTTTCACTGCTACAGCCGCTCAACATTATTTGTACAAGGCTGCTTGAACTCCATCCAGCTGCGCATTGTGTATGTTCGCGATCTCTGCAGATTCGGCTGTGACCGGAGGTAATTTTGTAAGTTTGTTTTCACAAGTGGACTGAGTGCTGTATTCTAAAGTTTCAGACCTTCAGAGCACATGTTGGAACTATCCTTTTGGGTTTTACGTGTAACCTGACTACAGATTTGGACTTGGTTTTTGCATGAAGTTTGCCATTGAGCCTATAACAGACCACCCATTCCTCATTGTACCCTGTTTCTTGTACTTTGTCTTTTTATAATATTCTCATTTTTCCAGCAGGGCGTTAACTGATCATATTGCTGAACATTCCAAGGCCGAAAGTTTCATTAATCTTTTATTGCCATCTTTAAATTTCAATGTATCGATGGTTTTAGCAAATGCGTCAGAAAATTGTAGTTATTCTTGTTAATTTCATGGCACGAAAACTGGATTAATGGATAATACAAACATTAATTGAACTAATGTGTGTAATGTTTCCAATCTGTGTTGCTTCGCTGTAAAATAATATTATTCCAGGTCTCATGTAACGACACAGAAACAAGTATATTCCAGTAGAACTTTAAAAACAGAGATTATAGCCCATATGAAATTCAGGACTGAGAAGTTATCCTTCCTTACGAAATGGGTTTAGGGTGTGTGCCTTATCATAACATTGATACCTCTAGCTGGTATTAACCAAAAAGGGCTCCGTCCTTCGAAGGAGATGTAAAACTGAGGTCCTAAAATATTTGTTTCTCGAAAAGAACAGGAATTTTACGCTCGTATCCTGGCCAAATTTCCTACTGGCCTTAACCAATCATGGCCTCCTAATAATCCCCATCTATGAACTGGCTTCATTACTCTGTTCTCCTCCCCACTGATAGCTGATGTGTGGTGAGCGTTCTGGCGCACTATGGCTGCCATTGCATCCTCCAGGTGGGGCTGCACATTGGTGTTGTGTTGGGGTCCCCATTACCTCTAAAACACCTTGAGTGGAGGGCAGGGCCGTCGCCAGAACAATTCGAACGGGTGGGCATTTGGTTTTAACCCGGGGGGGCCGGGGTTGCGTGCCAGTTTGAGACACGTGACTCAGCGGACACATAGTAACGATTTTTTTCTGAGCTGGTCTGCGTTAAGGAGAGTGGAAATGTCCTTGTCATTTTTAATGCGCATTTCATGCTCCTTCCATACGGCCATGCGGGTTACATGATCCTTTGAAGTGGAGTGGTTGGGAAACCCTTTGCCTCACTCTGCGGCGTGTTTCCAGTCATGAAACTGTTAAAGTTGAGACGGTTCGCATGGGCACTGTTGAACTTCCTACAGGGATAGCAAAACGCTGCATCGGCTTTGACGCTATACTCCTGCCATTCTCGACTATGGCACCGGCACGAAGGTACATAAGAGCAATTCTTACCCTGAAACAGACGGACAGGGTATCGATGTAGAGTGACCTGGTTGGGTTTTTCAATCCCTAGGTCTTCAGGGGGCTGCGCCAGTGCTCCACAAATGACCAGACAGGAGTCTTTATTGATTAAGACGGCACCGTCTTTAACAGCAAAATTAGCATGGCTGGAATTAGCGTGTGCACTTCTGCCGTTGTCGATGTCTGCTTTCCCCACTACTAGCCACCCCTTTGGTGGTGACTGAAGATGGTCCTTTGAACCGTTTTCTTATTTTTAGCTTTCCGATTAACGAAATGAGATTAATCAATTTCTGGCTACAAAACCGCCTCCTGTGTTGCATTACAAATCCCGTACTGAAACCTCAGAGGTGACATGGGGCCCAGCTACGTTTTTTCAATCCGCATGACAGAAAAAGGAAAATTTGATGGACTATATTAGTTACAGAAAGATTTTTCAATATTTCTAAAAAACAAACATTTTTTCCACTTTATTAGAAAATTCTTTTTGGGGGAGGCATTGCCCCCCTAATGCCCCCCTTAGTGATGGCTGTGGTGGAGTGTCCTGAAGCATAAACAATCAATAATAACAACAACATTATTATTTAATTATTTCAGGGAACCACTCGAAATTCAGGTGAGCAGAATGACCGAGACAGCCGCCTCTCCTGTTCCCATGTGCTGGAGAATACACCACCATTCACTCTTTTCATCCCCGTCTCACTGGTTTAAGTCTATAGGGCTGTGCCAGAGGAGTCTCAGATCTGGCTCTGCTAGTTATTGAGAAGGAACATCTGAACGGGTTTATCGCAGAGTGAAGGCTGATTGAAAATAATTCTTTCCAAATGAGCAAGTCAAGTGCGGATGCTGTGCAGACGTGCATTTTATTGGTGCCATGAGAAGCTTTTTCCATACATACATATTTAAAATAGTTCTGTGCATCTACCTATCCATCTATATTTCTGTCTGTCCGTTTATCTACATGTCTAATTTACAAAACCACAGCTGAGAAGAATTTCTTATGATAGAATGCTGTGCCGTTTTCTTTGACTTAAGTATGCTCTGAAGCCAAGGATATATAACCTTAGAAACCACAGGTCACGGCAGAGAGAACGAGTCTAT